CTTTCAACGCAATTGAGAAGCAGAGGTGGCTTGCCATTGCCTGCCTCTGCAGAGCCTTCCTTGGTGGTCTCCCTTCCAAGTACCGACCCAGCTTAGCTTCCAGCTTATGGCCAGCCCAGCAAGGGGCTTCCAAGGCAAGTGAGAGCCAGAGGTGGTTTGCCATGGCCTTCCTCTGCAGAGTCTTCCTTGGTGGTCTCCCTTCCAAGTACCAACCCTGCTTAGCTTCCAATTTATGGTGATCCCAGCAAGGGGCTTTCAAGGCAACGTAGAGGCAGAGGTGGCTTGCCGTTGCCTTCCTCTGGGGCTTTCAAGGCAAGAAGCAGAGGTGGTTTGCCATGGCCTTCCTCTGCAGAGCCTTCCTTGGTGGTCTCCCTTCCAAGTACCGACCCAGCTTAGCTTCCAGCTTATGGCCAGCCCGGCATGGGGCTTCCAAGGCAAGCGAGAGGCAGAGGTGGTTTGCCATGGCCTTCCTCTGTGTCTCCCTGCTAGCTTTTGACCTCTCATGAGACTGGCCTATACCAGGCCACCTCCCCTCCCCTGTGTTCAGCTACCCCTCGCAATTGTCGATTGTGTCAGCTCTAATTTTTATTACTTGGATTGAAAAACTTCGTATGCCGTCCCAAGAGCCTGTCCCGTGGGGCTTGCAAAGTAGGCCGCCGGTTCAAAAACAAAATGTCAGCAATTGCATGAATCCCAGCCCTGGCTCCATTCTCCTCCTACACTGGAGGAATGGGCCACGGAGGTCCTTTAAAGCCCCCAGAGGTGGAAGGGGGAGGAAGTGAATCGGAAGACGTGGGCCCCGGCCCACGTTCGAAGGAAGCTGGCGTCTGTTCAAGGGCGATTTCAAAAGCTTCCTTTAAGGAGCCTGGGCCAGAGCAGGCTGCCAAGATGGGGCGATAAGACCTGGCAGCAGATCCAACTGCCACTCGGGGTGAGGGGGGAAGGCTGAGGTGACCTCAGTAGGCCCAGAAGACTGGCAAGGGGACATGCAGTCTTCCACTGGAACTTTTCCTCCCTGGGCAGTAGATTCAGGACGGACGAAAGGAAGTACTTCTTTGCCCAACAAGTGATTAAAATGTGGGATTTGCTGCCGGAGGATGTAGCAATGGCCGCAGGCATAGACGGCGTTTAAAAGGGGATTATACAGGCTCATGGCAGAGAGGTCTATCAGTGGCTACTAGCCATGGCGAATGAAGGGAATGGAACGTCCATGTTCAGAGGCAGTAAATCTCTGAATATCAGTGCCAGGAGGCAACATCAGGGGAAGGCCTCAGCCTGTGTGCTCTGTTGCTGGGCCTCCAGAGGAACAGGTTGGCCACTGTGTGAGGCAGGGGAAGACCTCAGCCTGTGTGCTCTGTTGCTGGGCCTCCAGAGGAACTGGTTGGCCACTGTGTGAGGCAGGATGCTGGTCTAGATGGACCACTGTTCTGATCCAGGAAGGGTTCTTCTGGTGTTCTTATGTTCTTAAGCCCAAAGAGAATATGGCAGGCAGCAAGTCCCAAACCCTGCCTGGACAGTGAAATAGGGAGGAGGGTAGGTGTAGAGCGTGGGTCCCCAACTTTTTTATATTTAAAGTTTTTTATTCAATTTAACAATTATCAGGTAAAGATACCGTCTGATACAACAAATAATGAAGTCATCAAATGTAGAGTACAATATTTTCAGAAGTACAATAAATACAATCAAACATCAAACTAGTATAATAAAAATGTATGACAATTCAGTACATCAATAATTTCTTAATAGCAACAGTTTATGGTTCTAAGGAATGACTACCTATAAATGTAACAAGAGCTCGTTAAGGTAAGTAATGAGAGACATAGTTTATGCTTTAAGTTAGTTAATGCAAGAACTTCACATCCATTTCTGCATGGATTGCCAGGAATCAGGTAGGTATTCTTCAGAGGTTAAAAAATCCAGTATAGGAGACCATTTTTCCATAAAAGGACTTGGTACCGGCCTCAGACTTACAGCATTTATTTTATTGGTGACAGACTCCATTAGGTATTGGTCCCATAATTTCTGGTACCAAAGAGATATCGTTGGTGGATTCGGATTTTTCCAGCAGGTGGCTATGGCTGTGCGGGCTGCAAATATCATGATATCCAGGATCTTTTTGTGTTGGTGAGTTTCGATATGTATCGGCCAGTGTTTGAGAAACAGATTCTCAGGTTTCAAAGGAATCAAAATCCCTGTTATTTTATGTATGAGCTTTTGAATATCTGTCCAGAATTTGGTGATGTGTTCACATTCCCACCATAAATGCGCAAACGTGCCAATTTCTCCACATTTCCAACATTTTGGTGAATGTGTTGGATATATTCGAGATAGCCTTTGGGGGGTCAAATACCACCTTGATAAAAGTTTAAAGTCCTGCATCTCTAGTGGTATAGAGTTCGGGAAGGGATTCTTGGTCTCCCAAACTTCTTTCCAAAAGTTATCATCCAGAGTCGAACTACAATCCGCTTGCCATAGCCGTTGGTAGGGAAGTTTTTTGGATGAGTTAGACGTGTTTAAAAGGTGATATGTTGCCGAAATCAGACCCTTGTCAGTGCGTTCAAAGGTGTAGAAAAGGAACTCTAAGTCAGTACGTGGTTCCCCCATCATTTCTGTCATGTTTGTTTGTTCTATGGCATGCCTTAGCTGAAAGTAAAGGAACCAGGGTATCTGACTACTCAGTTTGTGTTAAATCGCAAATTTTGGCAAGATGCCCTTTTTTGTTGTTATGTCCCCGTATCTAGTAGGTCCCCAACTTTTTTGAGCTTCCCTGGTCTGGTCCCCCGGTACTGGTCATCCACTGCTTCCACCCTGTGCACCCCGTTACATTTTTAAAACATGGAAGCTGAGAATTCAGAGAAACTGATACACAGATCATTACATCATCATACATTTGACAGTTTTTCAATGAGGCCAGGAGAATCACTTGCCCTCAGCTTCCACTGGCCACCGCCACTCAACTGGGTGGTGGGAGGAAATGTCTGGGCAAACTAGGGGGTGTGATTGGTATATCCATCATGAGGGTGTTTCTGGCATGACCCAGAAGTGATGTCATCACACTGTGTGATGTCATCACACAGAAGTGATGTCATCACACTCTAGATTTCTGGGCAAATGCTAGAGCATCACCCCCCACTGCAATGATTCCACTTCTGGGTTCTGCTGGAAGTGACATCATTGCCCTGGGGTCACCAATTGCCCCTCCTACCGAAAGGAAGTTCCCGCCACCCCATATCCTGCCGGTCGCCATGCTGCCAGTTGCCTGGCAATATAATGATATTCAATTGCTGATTTAAAAAAAGAAGAAGAAAAGCTTCTCAATGGATAGGGTTGCCAGCAGTGTTCCCTCTAAGCTGAGTTAGTGTGAGCTGGCTAACAGTTTTTTAGCCTCTGGTTCACACATTTTTGTCTCAGCTCAGGAAGGAGGATGTCTCCAGAGCAAACTAATTTATGCAGCAGCCAAATCACTCGCTCACAACTTTAATGTCAGTAGCTCACAGAGTAGAATTCTTGCTCACAAGACTCCATAGCTTAGAGGGAGCATTGGTTGCCAGCACTGCCTTGGCAGATGCCAATTGAGTTTTGAGGGCAGTGTCCGGGGAGGGTGGAATTTGGAGAGGATGTGGCATCACGAGAGCGAATTTGGTGCAGGGGTTAAAAGCAGCTGACTCTAATTTGGAGAACCAGGCTCGATTCCCCAATTCTCCACACGCAGCCAGATGGGTGACTCAGCCACAGACCTTAGGAACGAGGCAGGAAACACCTTCCAAGATGGCGTCTGCAGAACTTAGGAACGAGGCAGGAAACACCTTCCAAGATGGCGTCTGCAGAACTTAGGAACGAGGCAGGAAACACCTTCCAAGATGCTGTCTGCAGACCTTAGGAACGAGGCAGGAAACACCTTCCAAGATGGCGTCTGCAGACCTTAGGAACGAGGCAGGAAACACCTTCCAAGATGGCATCTGCAGACCTTAGGAACGAGGCAGGAAACACCTTCCAAGATGACGTCTGCAGACCTTAGGAACGAGGCAGGAAACACCTTCCAAGATGGAGCCTAGAATTCAACATGTAATCCAGGAGTCATACTTAATGGCTGGTCTACTGGACCTCTGCCCCTGTGTAGACCATGCAGGCAATTACTAGATTGTGTTCTTTTTTAGACTGGCAGTACTTGGAAGGGAGATGACCAAGGAAGTCCAGGGTCGCTCCACCGGCAAATCACCTCTGAACGTCTCTTGCCGGGAAAACCCTCTGGGGTCACCATAAGTCGGTTGCAACTTGACGGCAATTTTCTGCCACGACCGCCAACGTACTCTAGGCTATACAGAAGTGATACATTTCCAGAAGAAAAGGAAGAGATTGGATTTGTACCCCGCCCTTCACCCAGAGTCTCAGAGCAGCTTATGATCTCCTTTCCCTTCCCCTCCCCACAACAGACAGCCTGTGAGGTAGTTGGGGCTGAGAGAGCTCTGAGAGAACTGCTCCCGAGAGAACAGCTCTGAGAGAATTTATTTTATTTATTTTTTATTTTTTATTTATTAGTTTTCGCACATACATAACCGTTGGTTCATTTGTATACATACATTTTAGAGTCTTTCATCTATTTTCTAGCCAGTTATACGTTCCCGAGCATCGTTTTGTAAAAACTCCTTCATTCTTCCCCTGTAACATTAAGCTTAATTTATCATTTCAGCTACTCCCATCAGTTTTTCTATTACTTCATCCTGTTTGGGGTTATTATCTTGTTTCCAATATTTCGCCCATAATATCGTTGCAGTTGTAATTACGTATAGTAGCTCTGACAGAACTTGTGACTGACCCAAGGTCACACCAGCATCTGCATGTGGAGGAGTGGGGAATCAAACCTGGTTCTCCCAGATCAGAGTCCGCGCACTTACAGAACAGCACCTTGTGATGATTCACTAGGACTCCCGACTCGTGACACTCTCTTTCTTGACCCTTTAGGCTCCCCGTCTGAGAGAAGAGACTCCTGAGCGTGGGCGATGGATTACTCTGCCATGGGGGAACAAGAACCTGCCCCCCACTATTTGGAGCCTCCCCACTTGCAAGCCAATGAGGATTCTGAGCTCTTCTTTCCTGGTTCAGAGGGTGTGGATTCTGGGGCACTGCCCGCATATTTCTCTCGGATATCCGAATCCTACAGAACTTCTCCAGGTAGGTATGCGGTAGTTTCAAGAAGTACCAACCTTGACCACATGGAGGCCTGATCCTGGCATTTCTGGTGGTCAGGCACCCCTGCCTCCAGATAACTGAAGCCCTTGTCTGCCAATGCTCACCTGATTGGCAGGCAGAAACTGGGACCAAAGAGGGAGTGCGATTAAATTAAACAGAAAAATAAGCCCTCACTTACTTACAGGAAGTTTTGACCATAGAGTTCCTGGCTATTCCAAGAGCTGCCTGGATTGTAACTCTAGGAATTCTGGGAACTCCTACTACTACTCCTCTTCTTCTTCTTCCTTGGTTTCCACTGGTAGAGTTGTCTCTCCTTTGGAAAGAAGGGCATGGTCAACACGTGAAGAAGAAAGGCAGGAGGAAACTGAATACTGTGGTGGTAGAGTGGACTCTCCCTTGACCTGGACAGCTCAGGCTAGCCTGATCTTGTCAGATCACAGAAGCTAAGCAGGGTCGGCCCTAGTTAGTTATCGGATGGGAGACCAGCAAGGAAGTCCAGGGTTGCTATGCAGAGGCAGGCAATGGCAGACCACCTTTGTTATCTTGCCCTCTGCCTGGCCCCCCCCCCCCCGGTTTATTTATTTGTGTATTCTGTATGCATTCTGCATCTACAAGCAAAACCCGCATTTTTTGAGCTAACCGGCTGCTTTGTCTAAAGATGAAGAGAAAGGCAAGCATCTTTCTGAACTTTTAACTGCTGACCCAACCCCTCCCTCTCTCCCTGATTCTGCAAAAAGAAAGGGAAAGGGGGGGGAATCCAGGCCCACACATGCAAGGCTGACACCAGTGTTCCCTCTAAGCTGCGGAGCCTTGTGAGCAAAAATTCTACTTTGTGAGCTACGGGCATTAAAGTTGTGAGCGAGAGATTTGGCTACTGCATCAGTTAGTTTGCTCTGGATGTCCTTCCTGAGCTGAGACAAAAATGTGTGAGCCGGAGGCTAAAAAACTGTGAGCTAGCTCACAGTAACTCAGCTTAGAGGGAACACTGGACACATCTGGGAGCAGGGAATCCCCTTGTCCTTTATATGTACTGATTCCTTCTTATGCTCTCTCTGGCTTTTTAAAAAGTTTTCCTGAGCGGGAGGACACGTCCTGTTGTCTTTGGAGAAGGAGGGAAAGAAAACAGAATGGGGAGGGAACGTCAGCCTAAAGAGAGAGAGGCGGAAACAGGGGCGGGGCAGTGGGCAGCACTTAAATACCCGCAGAAACAATTCTACTTTAGAAAGGATTAGTGATTCAAAAGCAGATGAGAACAAAGAATCGCAGCAAAAGGAGTTTTGGTAACGGCGGGGCAAGAGTGTGCTGGAAGCGGTCTGAATGCAGATTTCCTGTTAAACGAATGCAGAAACAAGGGAAAGCCCCGACACAAACGGGAAGTGAAAGCGGGAGGGAATGCAGAACGGAAGAATAGGATGCGCTCAGAAACCGAGGCAAAATAGGGGTGCAGAAAGGGCCCAAGTCTCAGGTGTACTGAGATGACCACATGTATCACTTTCTCCCCGTACACACAATGGGAGTGCGGGAAATGAATGTCTGAAAAGAGCTATGGACTCACGCAGGGCTCTTTTTGGGCAGGAACACACAGGAAGGGAGTTCCGGCTGGCTCCCAAGTTGGCCACGCCCAGCAGGAGCTCATTAGCATAATAGGCCACACCCAATAGCAGAAACTCATTAGGATTGGCTACATTAGGGGTGTGTGGCCTAACATGCAAAGGAGTTCCTGCTACCCAAAAAGCCCTGGGTTTTGACAACAAACAAGGTCAACAGAGTAAGAAGGGAAAGGTGAGTGTGGCTGGATGACCACACTTCTGGTAACATGGGGGTGTGACCTAATGTGCTAATGAGCGGTGCTGCCAGGGTGTGGCCTAATATGCTAATACGTTTTGCTGTTGGGTGTGACCTATTATGCTAATGAGCTCCTGCTGGGCTTTTTCTACAAAATTGCTATGGACTCACGGCATTCAATGTCTACCCCTACATGCCCTCTGCCACACGATACACAACTAAGGCTTTTCTTTCTACCCCCAACAGTGCGGCAATTGTATCCGGTCCTCAATGGTTTGCAATGGGCGGACGGACACCCTTACGGCATGGCAGCGTGGGCCTCTAGCTCATCTGGGAAACTTTCCACTGGTTTTCCGACCTACACCTCTGCTTCTTCGTCGTACCAGCCCCTCCAAAGCCCTCCTTCACCCAAGGACCTGACCCCCGAAGACAAGGGGAGCCCCAGATTCCTGGAGATGTTGAAGACGGAGAGGATGAGTCCCACCACCCACACTGAACTGCAGCCACTGGGTACTTCAGCTGGACCAGTCCATACCCCTTACACTATGGGGCAGGAGTATGGATACTTCCAACCAGCTGGGAGTCCCCTGACAGCTCGATACTCCCCCAAACTGCGGGGGGCAATGCAGCTCTCCCCCAATGGTGAGATCTTGTGCTGAGTTCACACATTAGGATTGCCAAACTCCAGGTATGGCCTGGAGCCGTCCTGGAGTCACAACTCATCTCCAAACTATGGAGATCAGTTCCCCTGGGAGGAAATGACAGCTTTGGAGGGTGGACTGTATGGTATCGTACCCCACTAAACACTCTCCCGGTCCGGACCCCAACCTTTCCAGGCACTGCCCCCAAATGTCTAGGACAGGGATGTCAAACATGCGGCCCGGGGGCTGGATCAGGTCTTCGAAGGGCTGCAGCCTGGCCCGCAAGGCCCTGGCTGTTTCCTGCTTCCTTTTCCAGTTCTGCTGCTACATCACAGCTTGCTTTACCAGACTCTCTCAGTCGCACAGGAAAGATAGATAGGTAAGCCTCTCCTGTGCAATTGAGTCTGGTAAAGCACTGGCTGAGGGTCCTCCCCCTCCTCCTCCCAGGGGGAGGGAGGGAACCAGGCAGAGCTCGCTTCCTGGCCAGGCTGCCTCAGTCATATTCAGGAGACACAGGGAAGCCTTGCTTTCCTTCCACTGGCTGAGGCTCCTCCTGAAGGGGAGCAGGGAGGGAGGGAACGAGGGACAGTTTGCTGTGCTGGGCTGCCTCAATCGCATGGCAAAAATACCAGGCACCTTTAAGACCAACAAAGTTTTGTTCAAGGTGCACTTTTGTGTGCCTTGCTACAGTGTGTTTGTATCCTGTTGGGCTCCTTATGCTGTGTGTGTGTGTGTGTGTGGTTTGTTGTTGTTGTTGTTGGGCTCCTTATGCCAGGGCTCTCCTGGGCGCAACTGGGTTCCCTCCCCCTTTTCACTGTGTCCATGCCCTCATGATCCAGTCTTTCTCAGTAAGAAAGCAATGTGAAAGTTAATTGTGTTTGTCTGTGTCCTTTATAAAGTTTATATCTCCGCCACCTGGCATTACGTTTTATGACACACATGGCCTGGCCCGACAAGGCCTCATTTATGTCAGATCTGACCCTCATAACAAATGAGTTCGACACCCCTGTTCTAGGATTTCCCAAGCTGGAGTTGGCAACTCTACCATACATATTACAGAATCAAGCGGGAACTAGATGGTAAAATGGCAGATATGACTTCAGACTGCAGATGGGGGACACAAGATTGGTGTAGTGGTTAAGTGCGCGGACTCTAATCTGGGAGAACCGGGTTTGATTCCCCACTCCTCCACTTGCACCTGGCTGTATGGCCTTGGGCAAGCCATAGTTCTGATAAGAGCTGTCCTTGAAAAAGAGCAGTTTCTGTCAAGAGCTCTCTCAGCCCCACCTACCTCACAGGGTGTCTGTTGTGGGGAGGGGAAGGGAAAGGAGTTTGTAATAATATATTGTAATAATAAAATATATAAATATATAAAATATTTTATAAATAATATTTATATTTTGTCTCCTTATATTATATTATATGTTTCTTTATTGTTTTTTATTTTATTTATATAATGTAGTAATAAAATATAATAAAAAAATAAAATAAAGGAAGCTGCTCTGAGACTCTGAGTGAAGGACGGGGTATAAATCCAATCTCCTCTTCTTCTTCTTACATATAAAAAGGAAATCCCGGCAAGTTAAAAAATAATCAGACATCCTACCACAAGTTTTGTTAGTCTTTAAGGTGTTACTGGACTCTTCCTCTTTTCTACCGCTACAGACAGACTACCCATCTTGATCTCACCCACTTGGTATGTAGTGAAACTTTCAGAAATGTAACTTCCCCACACAGTCTCAAGGACGGCCTAGTCTACCACTTCACACTGCAGAATGGGCAGTAGAACTGATCTTCTCTTGATCTTCACATTTGCTGAAGGCAGACAGCTACGGTTGCCGGCTCTAGGTAGGGAAATTCCTGGAGATTTGTGGGGGTGGAGCCTGGGGAGGGTGGGGTTTGGGGAGGGGAGGGGAGGGGCCTCATCTGGGTATGTCAGTCTGGTGGAGGGCCAGTTTGGTGTAGTAGTCGGGAGCGCAGACTCTAATCCTGGAGAACTGGGTTTGATCCCCACTCCTCCACGTGCAGCTGCTGGTGTGACCTTGGGTCAGTTACAAGCTGCTTCAGAACTGTTCCCTCAAGGGCAGTCCTCGAGAGAGCACTCTCAGCCCCACCTCCCTCACAGGGTGTCTGTGGTGGGGAGGGGAAGGGAGGGGTAGTGAAGGGCAGGGTATGAATCCAGTCTCCTCCTCATCCTTCTTTGGTGTAGTGGTTGTGTAGTGGTGTAGGTACATCCTTTGGTGTGGTGGTTAAGTGCGTGGACTCTAATCTGGGAGGACCGGGTTTGATTCCCCACGCCTCCACTTGCAGCTGCTGGATGACCTTGGGCAAGCTGTAGTTCTGATAAGAGCTGTCCTTGAAAAAGAGCAGTTTCTGTCAAGAGCTCTCTCAGCCCCACCTACCTCACAGGGTGTCTGTTGTGGGGAGGGGAAGGGAAAGGAGTTTGTAAGCCACTCTGAGAAACCTTTGGGTAGTGAAGGGCGGTGTATAAATCCAATCATCTCCTCCTCCTCCTCCTCCTCCTCCTCCTCCTC